ATACGAGCTCTTCTGCCAAATTACGTCTGCAATGAGACAACAAACTCTCCTTTATAGTATAAAAAGCCCATGAAGATCTTCTGTTCCTACTTATCTCCCCTACGTATCACTGTGTGCGGTGTCTCCCGAGAGACATATGTATTCTTGGAAGACCCCGACTCTAATACTCCAAATCACAAGTATGAACGCACTTCTTGCAAGAGCAGAACTCTTTCTCTTTCAAGGCACTCAAGGTATCACAGAGAGCAGAAGTCCAAATTTAATGAAGTACGTTTTCTGAAACTGATCTAATATTCTGTACAGGATACACCGCATGCAGCAGAAAAGTTTACTTCTGACTGCACATTTCGTCAACTTGACACTTTAAAGTCACCAGGGAATGATGCAGCCTCACTTGAACTGCCTTCATTAGAGCGGACTGTGGGTATGTAAGTGGGACATTTTCTTCATTGACTTATATGGGAGGGTCCAGCCCTCCGGCTGGTCTTAGGTTGTCTCAGAAAGCCCAATACGCAAGACAATAAGCAGCTTTCATTTAGATCCTGTCTTAACTTCCCTCTATGATGGATTAGAATCTCTAAATCCTTACTCAAATTGCTTTTTGGTTAGTGTTTTAACATAGCAGTTTTTAAACCAGGTAGTCTAGGGGGAAGAAAAATAAAAGTTTTTCACCATAAAGAATGGTAAATTTCTAACATTAGGGCATCATTCTACATTTTCATCAGTGAGATTAACTCTCATTTACATCTCCTAAGCTAAAATACTAGCCTTGGGAGAGAGCTGCAGCCTTTTCTGCTGCTGTTAACATATTCAGAGTTCCTGTGTTTGGAGATACATGGCCATTTCTCCAAATGAAGGCAGAAAAGTTCTACACAAAAGTTAACATAGTCTTACGCTTTTGTTGGATTGACAGGTCCAAGGGAGGTCAACAATGCAAACATGGTTAAAATTCTAAGGACTTCCTGTCATTGTATTGTACTTACACTAAATGTATACCAGTTTCATTTCAACAAAGGCAATCAGTGATATGCCTTAAATACTACTAGGAATCAAAGAGCTTCCTAAACTCCAGCACATCAACAAAAAAAAAAAAAAAAAAAAAAAAAAAAAAAAAAAAAAAACTTTTCTGTGCTGTGTCAGAAAATCATGTTGACTATAATGCAGTATGTAGTTGCAAACATTTCCCAGAGTAACTCTAACTTATAAACAAGCTGTAAACTAGCTTATACGTATTTTAGAAAACGCAACACCTATTTAGCATTCATGTGTTTTCTAGTTTTCCCATCAAAAATTGTCTTTTAATGTCTAGTTTTACCTTTTGAATAATCTACTACTACATCCACTCAGCTGAATGGGTTTTTTTATTTACTCAAAAAGTCTATCACTTGGTAACTCTGAGAAACTCTATCCTGCCAAATTCTATTTAAAACTGAACTTATATAGAAGTTGGAGAGATGGTTGAGGAGGGGCCAACTTCCTACATCCACCTGTGACTCACACCTACCTCTAACTCCCTACCTAGGGCGTCTAACACCATCTTCAGGCCTCTCTGGGCACCTAACAGAGAATATACATTCATTCATTATACTTAGTTTACTTTAGAAATTTCAGTATGTTAAAAATGTTTTAAGCCAAGCAGTTAGTATCACATGCCTTTAATCCCAGTGCTCAGAAGGCAGAGGCAGGTGGATCTCTTGAGTTTGAGGCCAGCTTAGTCTACAAAGCAAGTTCCAGGACAGTCAAGAAACTGAGAAAGACTGTCTTTAAAAATCAAAAAAGAAAAAGAAAATGCAGTCAACAAGACAGTCGACAAAGGCAGAAAACAAATTAATGAAAGATGCACAATATTTATGTGGGGCCTTTTCCAAATTACATTATCTTAATGGAGTTGGGCCTAACTGTATTCCACAAAACACTGTAATTCCTAGAGAATACTGAATCTTTTAGAAAATCCCCCATCCCCGAATTTATTGTGAATGTGCAGGCATGCACAAATCAAGTGTAGGATGGTTACAGAACATTTAGTTTAACAATTGCTACCAGCCGCAAGATCACACAGTAATTATACAGCCATCCTATCACAAGATAACTCAGAAGAATTAAGGATTCTCCTGATGGATGAACAGTACAAAAGTTGTATTGGGGTTAGGATCCTGTGAATGAATCGGCTGTTTCTTGCTGTAGATTCTTCCTGTAGCTTATTCCTTTCTGCAACGAACTTGGGATTTAGTTCCCACAGTTCAGCACTATCTGATCATTTACTGGGAACAAATTCTCCCATGCATTTAGAGTTTACTGATTATATTCCTTAGCTATGTGTGAAATCTGTTCTCCATTAGCAGGTCCTAGTTACTGATTACTTTCCTTAGGTTCGTGTGAGACCTGGTCCTTGTTCCCCTCTCTACTGTCATTGCAAAGATCTGCCTTCCTGCAACTATCCTTATTGACAGACATATGGTCAGTGTTTAGGGCCCCAGGCAAAAGCATTCCATCTAAGACATTCCCAGATACCCACGCCCAAAGTTGATGATTCATAGCTGCACTAAAAGATGCTCAAACTTGTTTTATTAACTCAAGATTTAGCTCAGTGATTTACTGCTCCCTCCAGTTTTCCCTGAGAAGATAATCAGTCCATTTGCTCTTCCTCATGGAAGTAAACTTTCCTGAAGGTCTGTGCCACCACTGAAGACAGAGCACTGGAAGGCACTAGGTTTTGTTTCTTGTGCAAACTAAACTTAGACCCTCTCCTTGACCTACAGCCCTAAGCAACTGATGCTAAAAGCGTCTCCTCCAAGTTTTAGTTTATTGCTTTGTGTAAATCTTATCTGCCTTGCTGACCCCTAGAAATTCAAGCCTCACATTGTATTGCAAAAAGAATTACTGTTGCAAACAAACAAACAAACAAACATACATACATACATACATACATACATACCAAAACTGGGGAGAAACAGAGAGATAAACACATAAGGAAGGAGAACAAGAGAGAAGAATAAAGAACACACAGAGGAGCAACTGTGTGTGAGTCAATGCCTTTTCCCCCTCAGATTTTAGTTCCTTCACTTATTTGTAGTTCCCTTTTTTTGAACTCTTGAGAGAAAATTTTAAAAGCAGGCCTTTTAAGGTTTTTGATAAACAATATTAATTCTCAGATGATATTATTAAGGTAAAATTATTATTTCACTTGCAGCTTGATCTGAAACACTTTAAGGTACGAAAGAACAGCTTTCAGAGTTGATCCTCTCCTTCCATCATTGATGTCTGAGGATTAAACTCAGGTCACCAGGATTTGTGGCAAGCATCTTTACCAGCTGAGGCAACTTTCAATAGCCCTGAAGAGAAATCGATCCACCTCTCTCTAATCTATGCTTTTGTGTGTGAGAGAGGGGGGGGAGGTGTGGGCTAGAGAGAGTGTCTTAACCACTCTAGGCCTGGAGTTACAGAGGACTGTGAGCTGCCTAGAAAGGGTGCTGGGAAGCAAACTTGGGTCCTCTGTAAGAGCTGTAGCAAGTGCTCTTAACCACTGAGCCCTCTTTCCAGACTTTCAAAAGAGAATCTCTTAAAAACAGCTCTGATTAACCAATTCAGACTGAATGTCTCAAAAATTGAAGTTATTTGTTTTTAAAGGATGTCATAATCAACGTTTACATCTAATTAGATTTCATGTATGATTTAGCATTCATATCCTAAATTATGCAAGTCCTTTTCTAAAATTATTTTATACTCAGATAAACATGTCACATGAAAAAGAAATTATAAATTTTCCACAAAAATCTGACAGATGGAAATACAATCAATCATAACAAAAGTGTAGCTTTGTCATTGATTTGTCATGAATACTTCGTTGATTTTTCAAGACAGGGTTCTCTGTAGCTTTGGAGCCTGTTCTGGAACTCCTTCTGTAGACCAGGAAGGCTTTGAAGCCACAGAGATCCACATTACTCTGCCTCACGGATCAAAGGCATTCGCCACTGCCTCTGGGCCTTTGTTACAAAGGTTTTAAAAATTACAGATTTAATGATAAAAAGCATGCAAATTATCAAATAAAACTGGCAAAATCCTTTTGGCTCTCATTTATGTCTAAAAATGTATGTATCATAGCCAGCAGAATTTTTCAGTAAAATTTTATTTTGAAAATAATATTTCACTTGAAGTTTGATCTAAAACACTTTAAGGTATGAAAATTTTATACAACTTATCTATTACAAATTAATCAGAAGTCTTCAATTAGTTACACTGTGTTAGCTCACCTACATAAAAAATATTGCACATTTTGTCTCCAGGTGTTACTAATGAGTAAACTATATAGAACTCCAAACTATTTATTCTGTGAAATGGCAACTTTATAAATACTGGAACTAAATGCACTGTAAACAGCCATTTTGGTAAACATGCATTTATTCACAGATTTCTTTCCTTTAGATAAATGCATAACTGCTCAAAATTAAGATGCTATGTGGAGGTACAAGCGCACACAAACAAATCTGTCTGTCTTCATTTGGAGGAAACACTGATCTTGGCAGAATTATTTTTAAAATGCACTATTGCTGGTAAGAAAGCTAATACTTTAAAACTTCTGTATTCTGCACTTGCAAGTCTGTTTCAGTTAGAATTTAAAAGCACTGTTTGCAGAGATTCAACTCTCACTGCTTAAATATATCATCTGAAGAACTCAGACCCTGAGGCAGCTAAGCCCTTGTCAAAAGCTGACTACTCAGGGAGCGGTGACTCACACAGGACCACTCACTTTTGTCAGTTTTTGGAGACTGACAAAAATCAGACCATCTTAATGTTATATAATTGACACCATCCTGCATAACACAGTATTCCTCCATTAAGCTGAGGCCATATTATAGTTTAAAAATATAAATATGTTGACTCCTAAGTCCTATTTCTATGGTAACCCCAGAGATGTAAACCAGGAGTGACTATATAGTTCCAAACTTGAATATTAGTGTCAAATATTCATTACAAATAACTCTACTGGTGCAACGGCCTGATTGTTTCCAGCAATTTCATTTTACAAGAGTGAATCACATTTTATACACAGAAAATATATTACTTGAACTCCCCCCCCACCACCAAAAAAAAAAGTTTAGGAAGCTGATCAGATGCCTTCAAATGAAAAGTAAGATCATTTTCTGGCCCTTTCCCACACCCTTAAAAGTGGAATTTGACAAAAGTCCATGGGCATAATTTACAAACTTTGACAAACTATTAGGTTAAAACCATTTTTTTGGGGGGAAGATGTGAGGAACCTTTAAAACCTGTTATACAAAACTTCAGCTGCCTTTTATAAAAGTACGTTCCTTAGATTAAAACCGTAAAATTAAGGTGCAAGAATTTAACAAAAATGAACTGAAGAGCTTTATTGACATCACAGTACATTCAAGAATAATTTTAGGAACATTACAGCTGAAAGAGAATGGCATATTTATAGTCTTATTATGTACTATTTCTTGAAAAAATGTAATACAAAGAAATCCTATAACTTGGAGCAGCATTTGGAAAAAGACACCTATTTACACAATTAAAAAAAAAAATCTGGTTTCACCTACACAGCCACAATGTGCCTCTATAATGAGACAAGCCCTTAAAACTCATGGAATTTTTAAAAACAGCATCATGGCATTCTTGCCACATCATTCCTCAGCGCTTACGACGGGGAGGGGTTGTTGATCTGAAAAAAAAGAAAGTGGGAAAAGACAAAATTTAAAAATAAAAATGTATTTATACTTAAAATCTGCAATATAAATAAACACTGTTATACAGGATTTCTAACATTATTTAAAAAATATTTAACAAATACCAAACTGAGTTTATAAAAGAGAGAGAGAGAAAGGACACTTTCAATTTTGAATAAATTCAAAAAACTTTAAAAAAAAAAATCAGACAAAATACTTTAAAAAGTATACTACCTTGATCGGGACTTAGACTTGTGTTTGCGGCTTGCCTTCTTACCAGACCTTTGAGATTTCTCCATGGAGCGCGACCGACTATGTTTAGGCTTCTTAGCCTTCTTTTCTTTGCTACTTCCAGGGGATTCAGAACTGCTCCTTCCACTAGAATCAGAACCTGAATGCTTTTTACTGTCTTTGGTAGCATTTTTCTTACTATCCTGTCTAGAGTCGTGTCTTATGACTTTAACAGATATAGAACCACTCCTACAGAACATTCTCTCACTTTCTCGCTTCCTTTTTAACCGATCATCCTGACTGCCGAATTTAAAATCTTTTTCTTCCCTTTTCTGTTTCTCTTTTCTTTTGTCCTGTTCACGGTCCCTTTCTTTTTCTTTCTTTCTCCTGTCTTTATCTACGCTTCGACTCCTCTCCTTTTTCCTGTCTTGTTCTTTAGCCTCACCTTTATGCTTATGACTGCTCCCACTAAGATTTCCACGTGGATCCTCAATTTTACGCCTATCTCGACTCCTACTGCGACTGGAACGATTGGCTCGTCTATCCCTTGAGCGACTTCTGCTTCTACGTCTGTCTCGGGAAGGACTCCGGTTTCTTCGTCTTTCTCTTTCAATGCTACTTCTATTAGATCTCCTCCTGTCTCTCAGCTTCACCCTAGCTCTACTGCTGTCTACCTTCATTCTGCGAGAGTAGCTCCTGCTCCTGCTCCTGCTGCGTCTAGCTTTCACTGTGGGAGACCGGCTCCTACTGTGTCTCTTTTTCCTTTTAGGAGAAGAGGAACGAGAGGATGTGCAGCTGCTGCCTGAGCTAGAGCTGTATGAAGAGCTGGAGACGGAGCTGCTACTGACCTACTCCTTCGCTCCTTCTCTTTCCCTTTATGCTCTCTTTTGGGCTCTAAAACTGATGGAGCTTCATTTGGAGTTCTTTTCTTTTCGTTAACCACATCACCGTCTGCTTCACTTGCTTCTAGCAGTGATAAACTATTTTGCTCTCTGTGAATAAATTCATTCATCTCTTTTGTAACCCTTTCTGTTTGCTGCTTTTCTTCTGAAACAGAAAAAGACAAAGACACAAAAAGATAAATAAGATATGAAAAACTACCAAACTATCAAATTATAACAATAGGTTCATCTTTAATAGAATTAGGGTGCAAACTAAGTAATTAAAAACTTTCTAACAGCTACATTAAAATGGTAAAAAATAAAGTACAATTAACTTCCACATTACATTGCCCTAGTATGTCAAAAGTACTAATATTTCAAACGCTGAATTAAAAAGAACTGAAACTTTTTTCTTAAAAGTCTAACACTGTCTACCTATATCAACACTTCAGTTGAGGGCTAGCTACATTTCAAGTACTCAACATGTACTTTGCTATCTACTATTACTGACAGTACAGTAAGAGTATCAAAATGCAGGGGTACATATGACACAAGAAAAGATTTCCCCTTTGCCCAGTACTAGTAAATAAGAGATGAGAAGTAGGGCATGGGGCGCATGCCTTTAATCACAGTATTTGGGAGGCAGAGGCAGGAGGATCTCTGTGAGAGGTCAGGACAGTCTACACAGTGAGCTCCAGGATATCAAGGACTACACAGAGACCCCATGTCTCAAACGACCAAAATGAAAAAAACAAAACACAAAAAACAAACTAACCCCAACATGAAAAAATAAAAGACAAAAGACAGAGACAAACAGTGATTCTTAGAAAACTGTTAACAAAGCTTAGTCATTTCCTAGGAGCTGTGCAAATATTTTTCAAAAATTAAATTCTTCCATTATTACTAGTACTATCACACACTTAAAAACTGTACTTATGTAAGGGATTTTTTTTAAATAATTTCTAATCTTCTATTTTCCTTAAATAGATACTTTCTCAGGAGTTTTATAAATATAATCTTTCCAAAAGTATTTTCATTGAAACAATTTTAACACAAAATAAAGATTTAGATCTTTATAGCCTGGTTTATGACCATGGGGATGAATGGTTCCTACAACAAACTGAAACAAAATAAAAAATACAGTGTGATCTTAATCTCAGCTGCAATCACACATTACTTACAATCAAACCTCCAGTCCTATCCTATAATATTTCTACTTTGGTTTAAAACTGAAACTGTGGTGATACACAGTTGTTATTAAACTATCTTTTACATTCTAAGAGGGTGGAACTTACGCTGGACCTCACAGTCAAAGTTACTAACACACCTTGAGGTCACTTAAGACATAAGACTGCTATCCTACTGTGTACTCAGACTATTTAATCTGCTTTCAAAGGGAAAACATAACAACCAACTCTACTTGCCTTGGATTTCCTAAGCAATGAACTTTTACAACCTAAGCTAATGCAAAGCTGTAATTTTAAATGACTACTCTTCTATTCCTCTGAGCCAGACTATGCTCATGTATTATTTGCAGCAAATACAGAGTTGAAGGGAACTTCCTACAATTGACCATAATGGCTGCAAACAACTATTTACGGATATTAATTAGTTGGTGAAGAGTGTTGTTTGTGGGATTGGGGATTTAGCTCAGTGGTACAGCAAGTTCCTAGGTTGGTCCTGAGCTCGGAGGGGGGAAAAAAGAATAATGTTTGTTATCTGGGTCCACTGGGATCGGTTGGAATCAGTGATTTGGTCCCTTATAAAACTGTTAAAGATTTCTGTAAAGTATCCATTCTTTCTCCCAGTGGGTATTTTCTGTGCTATTCAATAAACACAAAGCAAAGCTCTTTGCTTGGGAAAGACAGCCACACAACGATAGACACAGATACAGGGACAGGTAGATTTAGACTCATACAACAGACAGAGACTGAAGACATGATGATCATGAAGCAGAGAATGCAAATCTGGACTTGCTCTTGTTTAAATGACTCCAAGGGGAGGTGCTTTCACTTCTTTCCTTAATAAGACACTCCTGTACTACTGGTGACTCAAATGCATCACTAATGTGCATAATTCATGAATAAAGGCGCATATGGAGCTACACAATCCTAACATTACCTTCCATCTGTTTATCTTGTAATAGCTGCTGTTCTTTTTCTTTTCTCCAAAAAGCTTCCTGTTTTTGCCGGATTCGATGCCGTAATTCTTCATCGTCAGTATCAGATGACTCAGAGCCTCTGTCACTCCTCTCATCTTCACTGTCTCCTGATCCATAACCACCCAGTCCACCTGTGTGCATAAAACTCAATCTATCATATGAAAACATTACACTATCCACAACAAACTTTTAAAGGTCCAAGAAGAGATTTTATTTATTTTTTCATTGCCTTTTCCTGGAAGAATATGCTTATTCTGGGTGGGGAGAGGCATAAATTCAAATTTTAAGTTCTCAGAATCCTCAGACAATGGAGATATTAATATCTTATTATTTGGATTATTTCACATATTTCTCACCACCAAGGAGTCATAATAATAGTTCTCTTTTATTGTCCACAGAAACCAACAAAAGCATTCAACATGGCAATAATGAAGTCTTACTAAAGTTAAGCCAATCCAACTACTGTAATAAAGTTCAGGATGACGACTCTGAAAATATAGCTAAAGTTAATTATTTTATTGTTCAAAGTTTCCTGGATTCAGGTAGGATGCTAAGCAAATTTTCTCTAATAAATTAGAATACTACAATTCTCACTGGTATAGAAATGATGTGACTACTCCCCACCCAGAAGTAGTATCAAAACTAGATGGGCATTTCATTCTACCCATTTCTCTTGTTCCTTACATAAACTAACATGAAATGAAGACGTGGAAAAGGCAAATTCAAGTTTGTGAGTCTTAATACCATGCAAATAGCAAATTATGAACACATCACTACTGCTGTAAGATAAACCTATTTCCTCTAAGTTGAAACTTGATTTGCTCCAAAACAATTCAGGTAAATCATTAAATCCATTTCTCTCTAGGTAAATTCCTAAATATGCATGCTATAATTCTGAAAGGGAGTTTAGAAACTACCATGGTCAAACCACTGCCTATTAAGTACAAAACTATGTGCATGTAATATGTAACACATATAATCTCCTATAGTATATTACATACACACTGGAGCAATTAATAAGGAAATCCTCCATTCGACTCACCCAAATGAACTACATTAACCACTGCATTTATAATCATTCTACTGTGAATGTCTTAGTCAAATAAAGTAGATAAAGCTTTGAGACTGAAGTAAGCCTGACGTCTACATTTCATAAACTAAACAGGAACAGTGCATTTCCCAACAGAACAAGTAGAAAGACAAAGTCAGTGAGTCTCCCCTTTAGCCCTCTCACACACACACAGAGACACTTACCGAGGCCAGTGAGGGAGGCCAGTGCACTGGACTGTGCCAGCTGTTTTGCAGGAGCTTTGTATCACATCAACAACAGGAACAACATGTTAACACAAATAGCCACGATTTCATAGTCATGAGAGTCTACGGTATTGTTAAATCTACTACTATCGCTGCTTTTTGGGGAGAGAAGAAACATTAAAAACATAACATTCATTTTGAACCAGTAGCATGTCTGGCTTTGAAATTACAATTCTGATGTGAGCTGAAACTGGCTTATGATGAGGAAAAAGGTTGGTAAGTATATCTGTATTTCTTTCTATGACATATGGTACATAATTTATTTTCTGTATGCTTTTCAGTGTTACTAAAATCATATGGGAAGGTGGTTGCCACTCGTGTTCTAAGAATTATAACTGATAAAATTAAAAATTCTGAAGGTCTGATGTAATTCAAAATTCATTTAAAATGTATAAAGTCATATATCAATACCATGGTATCTAGTTTAAAAAAAAACAAAAAACAGCCTCAGGTGAAATAGATTGAACATGAGAAATTTTCCATACTGTATTTTAGAGGAGTACAGGATGAATGCTATCTGTGCTTGTGTAGGTCAGATAAAACAAAGTACTTCTAGAGTTCCATGTTATCTACAAACTGACTCTTTCCCAAAGAGTTAACACATGCAAGGAGAGAATATTTCAATATTTGGTAGAAATCCAGAGGACAACAAAAAAAGTCCAAAACAACCAATGGAATCAAAATTCCCCTACAGAAACAAAACCAAGAACACCCACAATGTACCTTTCGTTGCTTTCCGGTGTGCATCTTTGGCTACATAATAAATTTCTTCATCTGTGACATCCAGAAGAATTTCAGTTAGAAGCATTTTTGTCAGCAACATCTAAAGAATATTATATATAGTGTTTCCAATTTAATTTTAACACATCTGATTATTTTCAAAATAATTAAAACAAAAAGCCTCTTTAATTGAGATATTTTAAGACCAGACCAATCATTACTAAGAATAGAGTATCTTGAAAAACATTAAAACTTGAAAAAAGAACTTCAAATTCATAGGTATCAAAGAATGATTATCCACTTGTGATTGGTGTACCAGTGCACACCTGTGATATCAGCAGTAGAGACAATAGCTAAGACAGAAGGATTGTGAACTACATACAGCATGGGCCACACAGCAAGATCTTACTACTACTAATAATAAATAAAAGCTATAAACTTATCTGCAGAGACCCTGAATCATTTTTCTAGTGACAAAAAGTCAAAGCTTGTACTAAGGAAATGTCTGTGGCTGGGAAGATGGCTCAGTGGGTAGAGTACTTACTGTGGAAGCAAGGGGCTTGAGTGTGGATCCCCAGCATCCACATAAAAAGCCAGGCATTGTGGCATGCCCCTGTTAATTCTGGCTCCAAGAAGGAGAAACAGAGGGGTCCTGGGGACTCATTGGCCAAGAAGTCTAACCAACTGGTGCCAGGTTCAGTGAGAAACCTTGTCTCAAAAATAATCAACTAAATAATAAGCTAGAGAGCATTAGAGACACCTATCATAAATCTCTGGCTTTCACATATGCATGCATGGGCACCTGCATACACACACACACATACCACTCCCCTCAAACACATGTGCATACATATGCATGTGCGCGCGCGCACACACACACACACACACACACACACACACACACACACACACACACACCCCATATAGCATATTTCATTTAACAATATTGGTAAGAATTACAATACTAGTTTCTTAAACCACATTTCAAGGTTAAACTAAAATTCTGTGGGACAAAATAAAAAAAGTCAGAAACAAAGAACAATGGTACTCTATGTGGCCAGATGGAGTCCA